ACACTCGCCCACCCACCCACCCACCCACCCACAAATAAACATGCATAAATAAATGAATAACACTTTAATATTTTTGCATTCCATGCTGTTTAGTGTTTTAGGGAAATGAAAGTGAAAGTGAATTTCCAATGGATGCTAAAGCTATAAACCAAGTTAATGTTGCTGACAAATGGTTCTTTATGTCCAGAAATGACTGTTAGGTAACAGAGAAACCCTTTTTATAGAATACCTCAGTCCTGGAAAATCACCACTGGAGATCTGCAGTGGGCTTGTTAAGAGAATCTGGTTTGTTCTCACATTTGCCATTGGAAAGCAGGTAAGTTGGATTAAGACAAATGCATTGCCTATGAAAATAAAGTTAGTAATTGATGAAGGTTAGAAGATTATGTTATTATTCAGGTCTTCGGTTTTTATTAAACTGAATGTATTTTTTTTTTAAAAAAAAAAATTATCAGAGTTGTGAGGCTGGAGAAAGTGGTCGGCAGTTAAGAGCATTTGCTGTTCTTGGAGAGGACCTGGGTTCAGCCATCATGGCTCACAGACATCCACATCCGGCACATACACCAAGATGTGGGTTACACACTCTTACACTCAAAATCCAAAGAAACTTCTATCAAAATTCGTAAGCCTGTTGTGTAGCTGTCACTAGTATTTTGTTGGCTGTTTATCTTATGGAAGATACTCCATCTTTCTGAGTACTGTAAAACTCCACACACAGTGGTTTAGTGGTTTTACTTAACTTTTCACACTTTGCTGACAACGACTTCAGGTCTGTGCCTGAAAGACCACACAGAAAATACACACTGCGCCTCAGAACACCTTCAAAGCCAATACAACAAGTTGTGCAATCTTAGGCCACCTGTGGAGCTGTCAGGCAAAATAGTGAATAAGAAGAACAAGAGAAAATAGTTTAATACTAAAGCAGGCCATTCTGGTGGCCTAATTAAAAGCACTAATGTAAATTAGTCCAGCATGATAGTGGTGGCAAAAACATCTCATCCCCTGCCGTTGTGGCCTTTATACTTTCATCACTTTGTTTTAGAGATTCAGTATTGTGTTTGGTTTAACCTATTTAACTTTTTATTTTCTAAATTTTAAGACCATGTGTGTATTCAGGCACAGGTGTGCTGTGGTGCACACATGTGCAGAGGTCTGACACTGCTTTTAGCACTCATTTTTCTCCTTCCTCTGGGGTCCTGAGGATGAACTGGGGTCATCAAGCTTGGGAGGCAAGTGCTGTTCCTACTGAGCCATCTCACTGACCTTGCTGACAGCTTTTTATTGTTGCTAACACAAAGATAAGCTTACTGTAACCTTACTAAGGATGGATTTTCTTTTTAAGTGTCTTTCTCCTGTTATCTCATATGAGGCAGTTTTTAAAATGATACAGTGTATCTTCTATCTGTATTAACATACTACATTTTCCCTCCAGAAAGTTCAAATATACTTATTTAGATAATTGACTTCATTTTTTTAAAATGTGATTGGGGGGCTGGAGAGATGCCTCAGATGTTGAGAAAACTGGCTCCTCCTCCAGAGGTCCTAAGTTCAATTCCAAGCACCCACATGGTGGCTCACAACCATCTATAGTGGAATCTGATACCCCCTTCTGGCATAAAGTCATACATGCAGATAGAGGACTCATACACATAAAATAAATAAATCTTAAAATGTGATTGGGTGTTTTGCCTGCATATATATGCATTCACCACATGTGTGCCTGGTACCCCAGAGGCAGGAGAGAGTGAGGGGCTCCCTGAAACTGGAGTTGTTATATGGGTGGTATACGTGGGAGTTGGGAATCAACCCAGGTCCTCTAGAAGAAGAGTCTGTGCCTTGACACTAAACCTTGATTAAACTGCTGAATGGAATTTGATTAGGATTTCGTTAAGCACCTATCCCAAAGTGTCTCAGTGGACAGCTGAATGGACTAGCATTCTCTCTATCTCAATCTTCTGACTTTCAGGTCCAAGGCACCAAAAGATCAGAAAGAGTAGTTTGCTATATGCACAGACATATCTAAGAAAACATGAAAAGTCTTAAGAATTTTCCCTAACAGCATTCCAATGTTACAGTGACTATTCTCCCTTTTAAGTAAATAATTCCACTTTGACTGACAGAATAAAGACACTCCTTTGCAATATTTACATAGTGGTATTTTCCTGCCAACTATTAGTTTTACTTTTGATTATTTTAATAAGTTTTAAATGTATTGTATTTCTTCACAATACTTTTTTATATGTTAAACCCCAACTGGCAGGGTATGTTGGGGTTTGTAACTCTTTCTGAATATTTAAGGGAGAAAATAAATTGAAAGCCCTAAATGTCTTCTTTATTATTTTTCTAATCCAGGCAACAGATGGAGACTCAGATAGGTGCACTGATACTAGCCACAGACATCAGTCGCCAGAACGAGTACCTGTCATTGTTTAGATCTCACTTGGATAGAGGTGACTTACACCTCGATGATGGCAGACATAGGCATTTGGTTCTACAGGTAAAGTCTGGGCTGCAAAGATTGTTTCCAGGGTAAATCATGTGACAGAGCAAAAATGAAACACTGTAGCCACCTATTTTTTCAGGGTAAATTGGAAGGAAAGAGAAGTTAGCTTGCTCCCCTCCAGACAGAAGCATATGGCTTTGGTACTTTTCATACCTAAGTTTCTGATGAAGAGTGAAGAAGGGCAGCCTGTCAACAGCAGCTGTTTATTCTGATGAATTCTCACATCAAAGGGAGGCAAGGAGTAGACGGTCCCTTGGGTTTGTTGATACTGTATAACTGATGCTGTTGTTGTGCCTCCTTGGGCTTGTCAAGGGTGGTGGTTCCAGTTATAGGCTTAGCATCCTTCTCAGCATTTCTGCACAAATAACTGGTAGATCTGTGGCCGAATAAAGTTAATCTAACAGTGAGATTTCTGTCACGGTATTTTCCTCTTTGCTGGCTTCCATTTTTATTTAGTTCTGGATCCCAAGCACACAAAACACATGCCCTACACCTGAGCCACAAGTCCAGGTGCCCCTGTCTCTTCTCAGAGTTCTCCCCATTGTTGGAGTATATTGAAACTCAATACAACTGACATCTTTTCTTTCCTAACACAGTTTTCATATTTTGTTTGCTAGATGGCCTTGAAATGTGCTGACATTTGTAACCCATGTCGGAACTGGGAGTTAAGCAAGCAGTGGAGTGAAAAAGTAACGGAGGAGTTCTTCCACCAAGGCAGGTTATCATAATGTGTGACTAAAATTAGAACCCAGGTATTTATAAGAACCTCAGCACAGATGTATTATCTTTTAACAACTATTCATAGTTCATGTATGCATAACCAGTAACCCTTGGGGCATATTTGGAAACTGAGTGACCCTGTGTATTCATGACTGTACAGAAAGTAGACTGGAAACTTGACTGTGAAGAAAGATTGCTCTGAAGTAACTCCAGGCCTTCATCTGTGTGAGGCACAAGACCATGTGAGCATCTGAGGCATGTTTGAAAATACTGACAGAATTAGTCTTGGGAGGAACACCTAGTAAAAAATACTCTATTTGGTCCATTTAAATAGTGATGTCAATTTGGCGAGCTTTCTGTGTGTCACTTAAGTTTAATCCTGTCATGAGGATTGTATAGTGTCCATTCAATAAATTTACATATACAATGAAGGTATTCATTGTTGATTTAGACAACAGATCTGTTCCATCTTAATTTTTTTTTAATTTTTAGGAGATATAGAGAAAAAGTACCATTTGGGCGTGAGTCCACTTTGTGACCGTCAGACTGAGTCTATCGCCAACATCCAGATTGGTAACTATGCACATTTAGTGGGTTAAAAAAAATCCCACTCGTTTTGAAATTATTCAAAACTAAGTATTCAACTTACGCTCATTCTAGTTAGTAGGACAGACATGACTACAGAGTCGGACAGAGATGCAGAAGACAGGCACAGCTTGTAGGAGAGCACGGTGTTGAGCCTGTGGGAGTCTACTGGCTCCTGTAGCTAAGGCTGATCGGTTTTTCTCTTGGTGGGACTAATGAGACAGTTAATAGATCTGCTTGATTCTCAAGGATCCTCAATGTCACAATACTGTCGGTCGTCGTGCCTCCTTGGGCTTGTCAAGGGTGGTTCCAGTTTATGGGCTTAGAATCCTTCTCAGCATTTCTGCACAAATAACTGGTAGATCTGTGGCAGAATAAAGTTAATCTAACAGTGAGATTTCTTTCACAGTATTTTCCTCTTTGCTACCAGAAATATAGGTGAGAGAGAAATGCAAGCTAGGTGAACAGGTAATGCTTGTAGCTCCCTTTAATGTCTTTTTGCCTGAGGAAATTACTCTGTGGTATAAAAGAAAGAACTTCCATGGCTCAGGCAGCTCTTCTGAGAGGAGTTCAAAGCACCCACACCAAGTAACTCCAGCTTCAGGGACTCTGACACCCTCTTCTGGCCTCTGCCTCTGAGGACACACATGAATGAAGATACGTATTTTTTTTTAAGTCGTGATTTTAGCTGGGCATGACTATACATGCCTATAATCTCGCCATTTTCAGAGTGGAGGAGGAAGGAGCAGAAGTTCAAGGTCATCCTTAGCTATATAGTGGGATATCAGACTCAAAGAACAAGGACTGGCAAAATGGCTCAGCAGGTAAATGTACTTGCCGTCAAGCCTGAAATCCGGGTTTGATCCCTAGGACCCACATGGTGGGAGAAGAGAACCAATCCCTACAAGCTGTCCTCTGACACCCTCATGTGCACTGTGCCATTCTCACGTTAATATTTTTTTTTTAGAAATAGCCTCTCCTGATTTCTAGACTGATTTTTCTTCTCAGTTTTGACATTGTAAAAACTAAGCCATGCCAGGTGTCAGTCCATCCCTGAGGAAGTGAAGCAGTCACCAGTGAGCCCTCTTGGCCTGCCGTTGTCTCACTGAGAATGTCCCTTGAGTTGTGTTTTCTTAGTGCCCTTAGCAGTGACATGGCCACCACATATGTTAGCTTAAGTTGGATGTAAGAGAAATAGTCAGAAAAAGCTGGATAATGCTGTCCAGCTCTCCTCTGGTTAGAGCACCACCCAGTTACTTAAGAAATCCAGATTTATAAATTACATTCCCACACCCCCCCCCCCAGACCTTTTGAAAAAATAATATCCTGGTAATACTGAGTGGAACTGAAGAACATTAAAACTCTAAATGTTTTTAAGATGAATTCAAGACATATCCTAATGGCTTTTTCCGGTTTCTTGAGGTTTTATGACTTACCTGGTGGAGCCTTTATTTACCGAGTGGGCCAGGTTTTCAGACACAAGGCTGTCACAGACAATGCTTGGACATGTGGGGCTGAATAAAGCGAGCTGGAAGGGACTGCAGAGACAACAGCCCAGCAGTGAGGATGCCAATGCTGCATTTGAGTTGAACTCCCAGTTATTAACTCAGGAAAATCGGTTATCCTAACCTGAACCAGTGGGACAAACTCCCTCCTGCGAGGCTGTGGAAATGTGAAATGGGTCCCCAAGGGAAGAGCCAGTTCTGACAGCCGACATTTCCAAGGAAATGATGTCAGCATTATTTATCATCGAGATTTCTTGTGTTGGTCATTTGAGCCCACTTTTTAGTGATGAGATCTGAGTATACAGCAATATGCACCTGGCTTTTGTGTGAAACCCTGAACGGACAAAGGACAGCAGGGGAACCGAGAGGATTAACAAGGAAGATTTGCTCTGAGTTTTCAAAGCCCGTATCCTTCGAGCCCTGAAACTTGAACTGAATCTCAGCAGCAATCTCAAGCCAACATGTCCGATACAGCCACGCATCTGCCCCTTCCACTTTGTTCTCTCTGAGAAAACAGAAATGTGAAGTGCCGAGCCTCTGCTGCCTCTGGCAAGACTCATTGTTTACAAATCTACTCTGAAATACTGGTTCTCAATCGCCTTGGAGCATGATTGTGAAGGAACCACCGAGATTCGCAGCTCAAGCTGGAGATGCAGCTCTCCCGTGGTTTGCCTTTTTTTCTTCTTTGGATGCCCTCAGCGCCTCCCGTTTGCTGTTTTGTCTTGTGCACTGGAGAGCCAGCGTTTATCCAGAGCACCAAGCGTTCCACTCCAGTGCTGTTTGGCAATGCATATTTTTAACTATTAGTTTTTAATCTGGGGCGGGAGGGAAGGAACACCAGTATCCCAGCTGTGTCCTGACTTTGCAGTGAAGACACTGCATGTTGTTTTCACTACTGTACACTTGACCTGCACATGCAAGAAAAAGGTGGAATGTTTAACACACCATAATCAGCTCAGGGTATTTGCCAATCTGAAATACAGTGGGATGGGGAAGTGTGTCCTTCCGATCAAGGGAACTAAAGTCCCTTTCGCTGCAGTGCGTGAGAGGTATGTTGTGTGACTGTGTGTGTTTGCGTGCATGTTTGTGCATGTATGGCTGTGCATGTTCTGTCCATCCATGTGGGAAAGGATTGAAAATGTAAGCTTTTATTTATTGTTTTAGAATGTGACGTAGTCAGCAGCCACACTTGAGGGAGGGGAAGGTAGGTAAAGCTGTAGGATTGCTCCAGTTGCCTTAAACTATGCACAAAGCTAAGTGACCAAACTTCTCGTTCTGATTTGAAAAGTGCATTGTTTTCTTGTCCCTCCCTTTGATGAAACGTTTCGCTTTGTTGGGCCTTTTGATGTGAATAGATGTTTTCTAGGATAAAATTTAAGGACTAATTTTAGACAAAACATTCCACTTTTATAATTTGTTTTTTCAATGGTTTTATGTATAGCAAGCACAACTGTAATCTAGTTTAAGAGAAACGGTGCTTTAGTTAATTTGTATTTCCCTTGTTACTGTAAAGGACTGTTTATTAATTATGTTTACAGTTTGTTGCAACAGCCATCTTGGGAGAAAGCTTGAGTGTAAAGCCATTTGTAAAAGGCTTTGCCATACTCATTTAAACATGTGCCTGTTGCTGTTAACTTTTGATGAATAAAAACCAGTCTTTTCTCATTTTAATCTTTGCACTTTACCTCACCATTCAACCCTTTGGAAATCATGTGTTCAATTACTAGGTGGTTAGTCAGCTATTGGCTCATCCATTCACTCATGGGTATTTTGTAGTCCAAGCTGTGTGCAGACACCATCCTCTGGCTTCTGTGGGCCTTACTCTCTGCACCCTATAAGCATGCCAAGGCCTGGTTCAGTTTCATCAGTCTTGCCTAGTATGGATGGTTGTTGACTTCATAGCATTTTGTTAGCACAGTTGGGAATTGCCTAAGATATTACCTTTGAAAGGACTGAACGTGCCAGTTGTGTTAATATAATGGCCTTTTTAAAGCAACGTAAGCAATAGCCACTTATTCTTTATTTGAGACAGCTCAGGTAGCTATTAACAGGGTAGACAGGCTGGCCTCAAATTCTGGTCTTACTGCTGATGTCTCATGGCTACTGGCATTAAAGGTGTATGCCACCATTCCCCAAGCCTTTCTACCTTCCAGTCTTAATTCACTAGAAGGGATATAGTGCAAATTTTAAGATCAAACATTTTTTGTCCTTACTTTCTAGGAGAAAGTACAAGTGTTATAGAACCCACCTGAGTGATTTCCCTATTTTCTACATAAAGATGGGACATCAATAATATTATTATAATATATCCAAAATATTTTTATTTTAGCATATAATTTTAAAAGATACTTTACCCTTTTTTTGAAGTGGGTTGTTGTCTCTGAAATACAGTGTGCTTTTAAACTTATACCACATGTCAACTTAGACTAGCCTCATTTCAAGTGGCCCATACCACATCTGGCTTCTCCTGTTGACAGCATTAACAGTCACTACCTGAAGAAAGCCAACTGGTCACTCCTAAAGTGGCAGCATGTTGGCATATTTGACTTGTCCAGGGTCGAGAATTCCTGTAAGCTCATATATTGTTTTCCAGCTCATGAAAAACTCACCTTAAACAGGTTCACAATAATTGATATTGTAAAGAACAGTCTTGTTATTTTAATTTGCAATGAGAAATGTAACTGCCAATCATTCTCTCCCTTTAGGCAAATCTCCTTGAGAAGCCAAATTAGGAGCAGCTGGTTTACTCAGTGAGCAAGGATTCTGAGCAAGGGATGCCACGCGTTTCCTCATGCATCCCTCTCCCTGTGGGGATGGATACCTGCTGATATCCATAGCTGTGGACTGGGGTACCTTCTTCCCCTGGATGCTAGAGGTTCTCTGCCACTAGTTGCTTCTCCACACACATTAGCTTGATTGGTAACTCCATCAGATCTGTTACTTACTTACTTCTGCCCCTTTTCTGTTGAGCTTGCCTAGGCAATTGCACTGCCTGGCTGTTCACATCTGCTCTGATTATGCTGTTCTTCCAGTTTAATAACACCAAGGCGTCGCTTCCCTGTTTACAGCTTCTCAAAGGGAAGCTAGGTGATGTCCCTGCACCCATCACAAGTGTTTTCGTATAGCTGTGTGTGAATCCCCTGTCCCTCCTTCTTCTTTGACTTATTTTCCTTCAACAATTGGTTCTTCTGCAAAAATTTGGAGAAACATTTAGATCACATTTTTTAAAGTAAGCAAATACAGGGTAGTGCAAAATTCATGGCATTTCAAGATAAATTGGACACATCAAAGCATTTTTGAGGCTGTAGCTACCATTTGGGAGTCTGGGCCCAGTGCTGAAGAAGGGATGGGTGAAGAGGTCTCTACTTTGAGTGAGAAAAAAAGTTTTTTTCTCCTTTTTCAAGACAAGGTTTCTTTGTGTAGCTTTGGAGCCTTTCCTAGAACTCACACTAGATACCAGGCTGGCCTTGAACTCAGAGGTCTGCCTGCCTCTGCCTCCCAAGTGCTAGGATTAAAGATGTGTACCACCACCACCCGGCTAGAAAAAAAATTTTAACAAGTCCGACCTTAACTACGAATCTGGTTCCTTATTAATATTTGTACTTTAAACATAATGGTTTGTAATGAACCTCTTGTATTAAAAAAAAAAAAAAGGCAAAATTTCTATTTTTTGTCCTCTACAAACCTGGAAAAAACAGCCTGTACTTGAGGTATAGGTTCGAGGTGCTAGTGATCCTTCACAGTTCAGAAATGGTCTTTATCCACAATGCTCTTTTGATGTTTGTTTCCTACTTAAGACTAAAAATTGTCACAAGATTATCATGTCTTGAGACTATAACTAATATAATCCATACTGCTTTTAAAGAAATGTGCAAACTAGCACATCTCCAATGTGAGTTTGAAACATAACGTACATTGAAGATTTGTCTGCAGCCATTTTCTACTAAGAATCTGCATGGCACTGAGAGGACCCCCAAGGGCACATGGTCTTTATTCAGGAGGGATAACCAACCACCACAGGGCCACATGGTGATGAGCTGACAGAAACATAAAGGGTCTCATGTTCTTCTGTGTGCATGGTGTAGGGTAGATATAAACTGGGCCATGGTAAACAAATTACTGTGGAGTGTACCTTTTAGCTACCAGAGCATTGATAATGAATTTGCCAGAAGGGGGTTTGGGTGGTGCTGAAGTTGTGTAGTAAATAATGTCCAGTTCCTGTTGTATGCAGAACATGCCACTGGTGTTAAAATCTTAAAGCATTAAAAGTTACAAGCCAGGGTCTCCTTCAAACTGTCGTGGTGAAAGAAAATGTTTGTAGTTAGTTTTCAGAATTGTATACGAAGGTCTTCAGAGACTGGCTTAATGATGAAACTAACGCCATTCTTATCTCTTAATATCTAACTCACTCAGCATTCAAATTTGATGATAAAATACAATTTTAAGTATTCGAAATGATATTCTGAGTAAAATGTTGACTTTATCAATTGCATTTCAAACTTTCATGCCTAAGTTTTTAAGTTACCCTGGACTCCATCTTCAGAATCTAGTGGGATGGAAGGGGAAAGAGAAACTCCATTATTCTCAGTATTCAACTTCTTGTTGGCTGTGAACTTAAAACTGAAACCTGCTGACTTAGGAATTTGTGGCTTTCAGTTGATTCAGTAGTCTGTTTTAAAATATTGCATTTTGTACTTGTCTTTAAGCTCTCCCTCCCCTCTCTCCCCCTTCTCTCTCCCCCTTCTCTCTCCCCCTTCTCTCTCCCCCTTCTCTCTCTCTCTTTCTCTCTCTCTCTCTCTCTGTGTGTGTGTGTGTGTGTGTGTGAAATAAATTTGAAGTATTTCTTCACTGTTTGGATATGTCATAAAAATTTTCAGAAAACTGTAATGGTATCAGTTTTTATCCAAAATTTATAAAATTATAAAGTTTTGAAGGAAACATCAAAGTCTGTCAGTTTACTTCAGGAGCTGTAGCACAGACACCTCGAGGACCGGAAACAAGTGTGATCGGGTGCCAGGACGGTTGTTCCAGGAGGGGCCTCCTTCCCAGCTTGCAGACTTGCTAACTTTGTATATCCTGCCATGGCCAGTAGGAGAAAGGGCTAATTTTCTTACTCCTAGAAGAACTCTAACCCCATCAGGTGGTCTCCATCCTTGAAATAACCCATTACTTTAATGACTTAGGGCCTTACATGAGGGGAAAGATATTACACAAACATGCATTTACAAACTGCTCCAAGTTCCTAGGTGCAGGACACAGCTCGATGGTAGAACTCTTGTCTGCCATGCAAAAGGCTCTCCGACACACAAAGTGAACATTAACAGAAACTGGATTTTCCATCTGGGAAGCATCATAAGAACAGGAATGGGCTAAGTGTTTGTTTTTATTATAATGGACACATCAGTCCAGGTAACAGGGGCTCTAGACAGGGATTTGTGTGTTCCAGTGGAGGCCAGTTTTACAAAGCTGAACTTCAGGAGACATGGAGTGGAATTCAGCCATTCTGGGAGCTTCTCCTTGCAGTTAGTTCCTGTTTTCTTCCTCTGCCTCAGTTCTTCCTTAGGTAGCTGGGTTGTGTATAGTATGGTTTTTTAGGATTAGTGACCCCAGCATGGCAGACCTGGGTTTAAGTCCTTTCTTATTATCCATTTCCTTAAGGTGTTAAGTGCCACATACCCTTAAAGTTTCCTATTCAGATTTCCAGGTGAAGTCTGAATATAATGGCTTAGTCAGCTGCCTGTGTTCCATGTGTCAAGGAGGGCAGAGGACAAGAACCATCTGGTTAACATGACCCTTGGTCTGTTCCACACATAACCTGTATGCTCTGTTGCCAACATCAGTATTTCAGAATGATTTCCTAACTGTACTTGAAGCCTCCCCCCACTTAAGATACTGATTTCTAATATAAAATCCCCTGGGTGCGAACCTTTCATAAACATTTGGTCAATAAACAGGGATGATCATTGGGCAACAAAGGCAGACATGTTATACCTTAGGTAAGAAACCTTGTGAAAAGCTGCCTTTGTCCTTAAATTGTGGCATTTCACCATGAAGTAATCAGGGCTCCTCTATCATAAGCACTTGGCTTGAAATGGAAAGTGCTACCTGACCCTAACCCTGAGAGTTACACTCGTGTTCTGCTCCAATCAGAAAGGCAAGAAGATAGAGAACCTATCAGAAGACCACGTTTGAGAACTTCTAGCTAGAGGAACAACTCTTAGTCCTGAGTGACAGCTTCCTCTGGAAACAGATGCTGGGTCCTTACTTTGCTATGATGTTTTTGTTGTTCTGTTTGTTGTCAAGGTACCACACTAAGACCAGTGAAGCCTCTGGCCTACTTACAGAATTTCCAGAGAGTGTCCAATAAGAACCAAGAACCAGGCTCAAGAGAGGAGCTCAAAATGGTTTAAACAACTAAGAGTTTAAACCTTGTTTTTGAGGCAGGGGTTTCAGTGGGTCCAGAATAAAGTCACTTGACCGACATCATGTGTTGCTCCAAGTCCAGTGCTCTGTCACTACACTATCAGATGCACAGTTCATCTATGTTTAGTTGTATTTAGGTCTCCTGGGGTGGCTGTCCTGCATTAAAACCAGTCTCAAGAGGAAAAGTGAATGACAGATAACACAGCTCATCAAGGGAAGTACCACTGCTTAAAAATGCATTACAAATTATCCTAAAGCAACATGTCAGCACAAAGAATGTCAGTTACAAAGGAAAGATGAAGAAATGAAAGGGAAGGGAAGGAAAGGGGAGAAAAGGAAAGAGAAGGGATGTAAATATACAAATAGATAATAGTATACTCAAAAGAAAATTCAACAGCTTGCTTTATTTTAAAACAGTAACTTTCATATATTGGAATACTAGCCAAATTCAATACTGATATAAATATAAATTTCTTAGGTCAAAATATGTGGTCAGGCGAATTTTCTGAATCTCATAAAAGACAGTTTTCAAACCATATAAAACATTTAGAAACAACATACATCAACAACATACCACAATTTAAACTAAATAAACTATGAAAAACAGCTTAATCTTCAAGATTTAGAACACATTTTCAATAACTTAAAATACCTATCTACACTTCCCATCTCAATTATCCTGGGAAGAACAACTAGTCGATAGATTTAAATAATCCAAATATTTACTCATGGTAAGAGATTCTGACATTACACAGAAATCATGAAAACTTATTAAGTACTTTAAATTATAACAAGTCCTTTCAAGCCCTAGATAATAAAGGCAGCTTCAGCTTTCTAATGACACCCCAGGTTTATCTGTATAATACAATTCATCAGCTGGCCAATGATAAACAGTTTAAAGGGAATTTATTCACCCAGTCAGGAATGTTTTATTATAAAGGATATTTTGACCACTAGTTAAGTTTTATAAATTTGGTTACGCTGACATTTTGTATTGTGCTGGCTAGTCTTATGTGAGCTTGACACAAGCTAGAGTCATCTGAAAGGAGGGAACCTCAACTGAGAAAATGCCTCCATAAGATCCTGCTGTAAGGCATTTTCTTAATTAGCAATTGATGGAAGAGGGCCCAGCCCATTGTGGGTGATGCCATCCCTGAGCAGGTGGTCCTGGGTTCCATAAGAAAGCAGGCTGAGCAAGCCATGATGAGCAAGCCAGTAAACAGTACCCCTCAATGGCCTCTGCATCAGCTCCTGCCTCCAGGTTACTGCCCTGCTTGAGTTTCTGTCCTCACTGCTTTTGATGATGAACTGTTACATGGAACTGTGAGTGAAATAAATCCTTTCCTTTCCAAGTTGCTCTTGGTCATGGTGTTTAATCATGGCAATAGTAAACTTAGACAATTGTTAGCAATAAACCATCTTTATGAGGCTATTCATTAAACTGAAAAGAAAGATGATACATTCTGGCTTTTATTTAAAAAGTAATTTAATTCAATAATTCGATCTGCTACTACTTGAGAAGTACATTTGCTTCCCAATAATTGAGTGGTAGTGAGGTTTAAGCAGCCTTCCTGGCCCTCATGTCCCTCTAACAGAAAGCAACACGAATATTCAGCAGTAAACATCTTCTGCTGCTTATGTAAACTCAGCTCCAGGAGGAAAAGAAAATGTGAGAACATATGTAAGTCCTATTTGAGGCATTTCCATATCCAATACTGTACTCTAGTAACAGGGCAAACCAGCTATTCCATCCCTGACCAGCAAACTCAAGCTGAAGATAACAGTGTCCTCATTGATGCCATTCGTTACAATGTTTTTACATACTGTTTTATATCCAAATGTGTGCAGATAAAACATTTGCACAGATATTAGTGTTAAGAATTGAAAATGCACAGCAGCATCCATAAATGGCCCGTCTGTATTTTGAAGCTTTCAGATATTTTCAAGGCTGGAAGATGAACCCTGGCTACCTATTAAAAACATGTTATAACACGTGTATGTTAAGGAAAGCTCCAGAACTGACCATCTCATAAGAGCCAAACCAACTCTGGTGCTGTCACTACTTCTCACTCCTCTAATTAGGCTAAGAAGGAGACCAATGACCATTACAGTCAGAGATTTACTAAATACTGGTGATCTCTACTGCCAAACTCAACTTTGCAAGCCAACAGTGAACCAGGAGTCTTTCACATTGTCCATTAGGAGTCTGGAACATTCTCAATTAAAGCCTTCATTTTCCCTGTAGACTTCAATATATGTGGGCCAAACTGAAAAAGAAAAGAAAAAAGGAAGCATGAAATAGGTCAGCAGGGATGGACGTTGGTGGTGCACACCTTTAATCACAGCACTCGGGAGGCAGAGGCAGGAGGATCTCTCTGAGTTCAAGGCCAACCTGGTCTCCAGAGTGTCAGGATAGGCTCCAAAGCTACACAAAGAAACCATGTCTCGAAAAACCAAAAAAAAAAGAAAGAAAGAAAGAAAGAAATAGGTCAGCAGGTATCTTCATGCAAACAAGGGAGAGAAAAGCATTAGTGCTGGAGCCTCTGCTCAGTCTGAGGCGTGGCACACACCTTCCAAGTCCATGGCAGCTCTCACTAGGAAAACTCACAGGGTGCTCCTGAGAGAAAATGGTCCTCTTTTATTTTGAGTAACTCTTTTAAAAATTGAAGACAGGGGCTAAAGAGATGGATCAGCTGCACTGGCTGCTCTTCCAGAGGACCGGGGTTCTCTTCCCAGCACCCACATGGCAGCTCACAACTGTCTATAACTCCAGTTCCAGGGGATCTGAAACCCTCACGCCAATGTACATAAAAATAAATAAATAAATAGAATTTAAAAAATTGAATACAGGGCTGGAGAGATGGCTCAAGAGGTTAAGAGCACCGACTGCTCTTCCAGAGGTCATGAGTTCAATTCCCAGCAACCACATGGTGGCTCACAACCATCCGTTATGAGATCTGGTGCCCTCTTCTGGTGTGCAGATATACATGGAAGCAGAATGTTGTATACATAATAAATAAAGAAAATCTAAAAAAAAAAAAAAGAAAATTATAAAAAAAAATTGAATACAAACACTGTCATAAGGGATATGTTATCGGGTTGAATTACACTTCACTATTCTTAAATACAAATAAAAGTCGGCAGGGAAATTCAAGGGGAACCTTGCTTTTTTTCTTATGGTTCTCTGTAGATTTGGGGTTTCCAAACAACTAACTTTTAAAGTGAGAAAAGTAGAAATACAAAAGCGGGGCACGGTGGTACAACTACTTTAATCCCAGCACATGAAGGTGGTGGTAGTAAGATTGGGTTTAAGCCAGTCTTGCTACATACTAAGGTTAAGGCCAGTCTGCATTTCCTGTCTCAAATAAGGGCTACCTTTTCCCACCCGGTTAGCTCCAATCTCCATGTAGGCAGAAAACAGGACCCAGTGCATCACCGGGGGACACACATGGGTGACTTGAATACGAATGTGCTAATAATACTTACCAGGACTGGCTCTGAGGTGGCCTCTGACTCTGGCTTTGGAATTTCTCTTTCAACTTCCCCTTGGTTACTGTTTCGATAACGGTAAGCAAACTTCTTTTTCAGGGCCTCTGCTATGAGGGCAGCAGGGTCAGTAGTATCCACTGGCCTAGGCTTTACATCTTTCTCTGACCTTTGAGAAGGGAGCAGAAACCAAAGGGACAGGTCAGTATGTGAGTGTCTCTCACATACTTTGGACGCCAGTTATTTGGTGACCTAGCCACTGCTAGCAGCAGGGGGGAACGCTGGACTTCACAGCTCAACATGAGAATGCACAATCAGATAAATAGCCACTTTAGACAGTCAGGGCTTCATCCTCTACAAGTGTCCAGTGCTTCCTGGAGAGGGGACAGTACCATGCCTTCACTGAGTATTCACAATAAAGAATCTACATATTGGCTAGTGAGATGGCTCAGCAAGTACCAGCCACCAAGACTAATAACCTGAGTTCAATCTCCAAGACACACATGGAAGGCAAAAACAAACTCCCATAAGTTATCTTCTGACCTCCACACACACATGGAGCCTTTTCTTTAAATAGGTAATCGCTAAAGAAATGAGTTTACAGTCAGGGAGTAATGGCACAGGCCTTTAAACCCAGCACTCGGGAGTCAGAGGCAGGCAGATCTCTGGGAGTTGGAGGCCAGCCTGGTCTCGAGGATGAGACTTGGTGGAAATGAGAAGCCTGACTAGAGCACAGCCTTTGCCTGCCCTTGGCTGCTCTCCATGGAGGAGCTGTTGGGAGCAACAATGATTCATGGCAATATTTTTAA